GCATCGGGCTCCCTGCTCGGCGGGGAGTCTGCTTCTCCCTCTGACCCTCCCCCCTCTCATGTACTCTCTCTCTCATTCTCTCTCTCTCAAATAAATAAAATAAAATCTTAAAAAAAATATTGTTGTGAAACCCATTTCCTAATAAAATTAACCAATGGACTCCCAGAGTTTTTTGTTTTGTTGTTACACTCCATTTAAAGACTATGTATACATCATGGTATTTTCTCCCTCGTGTCTCCCTCAAAGATCAGGTCTTTGGTCCCAGCCTTATGTGCTGACTTTTAAATAGGTTTTTCAAATGTGAATCATTTCACCTGATACCTTTTCTGATGGGAAAGGGTGGGGAGTAAGTCGCAGAATGTGATTTGTCTCAGGCCATATACCACTAAAATGACCTTGGCCCACATCATCCTAGGGAGACTCCTGGCAGACAACAGCATTATAATTCTCTCATAAAAAAAAGGTAGGATGGGATAGGTGTTAATACTTACAGGAACTTCAGGAGAGGGAGCTCTTTTAGGGCATCAGGGTCTATGGAAGTTAAGCTTCTGGTGTTCCGAATCTCTCTGTAAGCATTATAGGAAACACATTCACCATAATACATCCATTTCTGTTCTTACCAAAGTTAAAATAATATGAATCAGGTTTAACAAATGTTCATGATGCGGGGCCCCAGGGACTGTTTCTGCTGGGAATCAGTCCCATCGGCAGGCAGCAAACTCCTCCCAGGGACACACAGGCTATATTCAGCCCTCCCCATCACTGACTTAGTTCCAGTCCATTTGAATGTATGGGTGACCTTTCTCTTAATTGTAGTCTCACAACCTTTCCCACCCCCCAACTTTTTATATTTAAATAGACAAGAAAAGTCCCTCCAATGGTTTGTGGAGAACAGATATCTTTATTATTAACAACAGCATGTATCCTGGCCCTGGAGCGGGAAGCTGAGCAGACTAAATGATGGATGATAGCAAGGCAGTAAGGGCAGTGAGCTTCCTCTGTCAATTGCTATTTCAGAGATAGTGGATGTAGTGAGTCTTAACAGTTCACTTGAGTTGATTTTTCTATATCAGTGTGATATCATGTATGTCAGCAACTTATATACTTAGGGTTATTTACAAGCCGATCAAAATGTACAGTTAGCATTAGTGAAGTTCATGACTGTGAGAAAGAGGTTCTCATCGGTAAAATGGAAGGTATTCAACACATATAGATTGGTTGAAAGAGTTTAAAGGCACTCTCTATGCTTATATGTAGAGGACAGAAGAACCCAGTAACACCTGTATCCTTTTCCCTTAGGGATGGCACCTAAGGCTCAAGGAACCTGCATCCACTTGCGGATAGTAACAACTAGAAGACTTAGGATCTGGCCCTGGACTTTTAAAAATGGTTTTACTGAAGGAGAATTTTCATAAAATTCATGTACTCCTGGTATACAATGAGGTATTTTTTTTTTAAGATTTTATTTATTTATTTATATTTATTTTTATTAAATTATATATATGAAGATGTATTGTATTAGGAACAATCTTTTGGGACTTATATATACATATTTTTTTAAATTCTGGAATTCTTTCATTGGAACAGTAAATAAGCATACATCATACAAAATTTCAGAAGATCTGGAAAGGCATATTAATGAAAAGTTAATTCTGAACTAGTTTTGGTAGTAGTATTTCTAAAATTTGTTTATTTATTCAGTCTGTTAAAAGACTTTTTTTTAGAGAAAGGTAAAATCATGACTCTCAAGCAAATATAAAACTGAGCAAGTGTTAAAGATTTTATTTTAATAAATCATACAATGAGGAAACATGACAGATGTTATAATCTGTTCAAGGAAAAGTCAAAACAGCAGAGATGTATATGAATTAAAGGAAAGTTGAAATGAATTGCAAAAAGAGGCAAAAGTGGTTTTCCAACTCTGGGGAAGGAACATTAATTAAATTTGAACCTGAAGGTATTTAATTTACATATCTATCATTTACCTACAATTTACAAAGAGCTGCAAAATAGCTGAAAGACAATAAACATGGCTAGAGTATGACAACCTCAAGGGCTTACGATAGACAAGGAATACTTTTCCATTAAAACACAAAATGTCTCTGAAAGGGAGTCACACTTCTTCCTTTGATCAAAACTAGTTTCAACGACATTATTCTTGCTTAAAAAGTAAGGTTGATCTCATTAAATTTAGTTTATTTATATAGCTACAGCAAGAATTGGTAATATACCATATAGACCTTCCTTAATTTGCTTTGATGGAATGTGAAATTGGCATTAAAAAAAAAAAAAGCCTTTTGAGGCTAGAAAGCCAAACCAAAACTCACCACCAGATTTCAACTATTGTGTCTATAAATTTGGGGAAATTGTTCTTTTCTCATGGTCCTCAAAATATTCTAAGTTTCCTTGGCCTGCCAGGAAGTGACCTTTCTTACCTGAAAGGTTGGGAACTGTGTAAACCAGATACCAGTCTAGTTTTTTTAAGAGGTCTTTGTAAGCATTGGCTCAATAACGTCAAAGTTAGATCCCTAAAAGTGTCTGATCATATCTGATTAAATGAACATTAGTCTCAAATATGACATTATATTTGAAGACTTGGTTGCATAATCACTGTTTCCAATTTTATCCTGGTAGCATAGATGATTCTTATTGAACCTATGCAAATAATTATATTGTCATGAAAATTAAAAATAGTAAAAATTTCTGAATTGTAGAGGGATCAGGCAGGGGAAAAAATATCATTTACAAATGCTTCACTTTTGTTTACAAAAGCATAGTCTACTAAATTTTTATGAGTTCTATGAAAGAGAAGTGAGTTCCTTTTATATCCAGAAGATAGAACATTAAACATCCATAATATTCCAAACAAAATCTACAAGTGCTCATTAGTCTGTTCTTTTAATGTAAAGTCCTATGCATTTAATTCTTCCTCTGCTTAATCCTGAGCTAGCAGTCTTCTGACCCCACCTGTTTTTTTACTAAAATTCTGGAATTCCTGATTTATCCTCTGTTATAATCTCAAAGTTGCATAAGCACTGCTATCAGAAGCCTGTGCTCAGGAGTACCTTTCTCCACAGGGGCCTGAAACAGATTTTCTTTGTTGAAGATAAAGAACTCAGGCCTGTGGCTGATTGCTAGCATTTTCAGTGAAGCAACAGAATAAAACAAAAAGAAAAAAAAAAACTTTTGTAGATAACAAGATAAAATGGCTGTGGTTAATTTATTACTGATAATTTCCTTTTTTTATTTATTTATTTGAGAGAGAGAATGAGATAGAGCATGAGAGGGGGGAGGGTCAGAGGGAGAAGCAGACTCCCTGCTGAGCAGGGAGCCCG